TATCGCTCCTTCTCTATCCCTCCCTTGAGTAACCAGTATTAAAGTCTCACTCCCTAACGGTATTTTGACCTCATTTGTGTCTTAATTCACATTGGGGGAATCAACTGAACACTCACGAGTCTTATTGGACCGGGACAGATACCCTGAGAAGTCTCTTTAGTGTAAGAAATACTGCAATAACTCTTCCTTTTGGAATTGAGTGTTATCTGGACTGAACTGTGCTGGGCCCTGGAAGGTGACCTGATCTTTATGGCTGAAATACTGCTGACTGACTGATAGAAAACCAGGGAGGGGAAAGCATGCTACTTATTGTTTTTAGTGAATGTATACATGTTCCTGTTTTTGTAACCCTTATCCAAATTAAGAAAACAAGAGTTTTGCCATTCACTTCAGAACATGCCTTTGTTCAAGGCAATGTGCCTTTGTAATGGAAACTGTGCCTGAGTTGTATTACATTTTTATTGTTTTTTATACTAAAGGATCCCTCGTGCACCTGCTGTCTGGAGTTTAGCTCTTAAAATGTACTTTGGCAGAGAATAATGTCAATATCAAGTGTAAAGATGATGTCATTATGATAGCATTATTGACTTGGAAGTTAATTGAAGACATTGCTTTCACAGACAGCACAAAGTGATCACCAAGCCAAAAATTTCTTGTCCCTTAGCATTTTAAAAAAAAAAGTGCTCTCAGACCAATGAGACCAGATGTTCCTATGCATCCAGCTGCTCCCCACCCTGACTTGCATATTTTATATTTCCCAGAAGACATTTAAAATCTGCAGCATCACTGTTGAGTTTATTGCACTATTAACTTAAAAACTGCATCAACCATTGTATGGTAGTTAAGTAGAAATTTACTGTGAATGGGTTACTGTTGCGGGAAAAGAGAGTACTGTTCTCCTTTGCTAACATTCTAGGAGACATGAATGCAATTTCATTAATTTTTCATAAGAAAATTATTAATAAAAGGGTTTTTTTCACTCATAAGATGTTTACATGGCTTCCAACTGTATCTGGCCTTTCCAATGCAATTGTGAAATGAAAGACTTAACCTTGAACATACAATCTTTCCAGCATAACTGGGTATTTAGGCAGAGTTATATAAATAAAAAATACTGGGTTAGAAATTAGAAAATAATCTTACAGCTGTAGGGGAACATACTTGCAACTATTTCACTTGGTAGACACATAGTACTAAGTTCAATACATTTTGTTGACATATTTGAATTTAATTTAAAGCTTTTGCCTTATTGTACTTTTTATTACTTTGTTACTCTATTAGAGAACGCCTGTGAATAACTCCTGCAAAACTTCATTCTCAGTGTGAGCTAAATTAGGACTTTCAAGTCACAGACTTCTTTGAAAAAGAGGAAGAAGAAGGGATCTTTATCTGAGTAGTTTTGATGCACAGTCTCTTCCTTACGGAGTACATGTGTGACCTTTCTTAAATACCTGGTCAGCCATGCCAGATAACACAGAAGATATATGGAAATATGTCTTAGCCCATCTTATTCCCCTTTAGGCATTGGAAATCTTTGTGGACAACAACAGGGAATGAGAATCCTGGCTTTCTGCAGAAACTGACTCTCAAACTTGCAGTAGGCAAGGAAATAAAAAATGATCAGCTTTGAGCACCAAACTAACAAAGTTTTCTTCTAAACTATTTTGTGGTGGTAAATCTCACATGCTCATCAATGAATGCAACAAGATTTAAAAATGAATAGTTTTTTTCTAAGATGTTCCAAAATAATGATGATTTATTCAAGCACAGTAGATGATATTTCTTCTGTAACATCAGGATAAAGGTCCAAGGAAGAGCAAAGCAGATGTGAAAGGATCGCACAGCACCAACAGTAGATGCAGCAATACTCTTGATGAAATACACTCTTCCAGCAGTGTTCATGGGGTAGTCATTACAGTTTAACCTTTGTCCTCTGCAGGTACAATATCTGGCTTCCAAAGTCTCACGCTAATCTGTGTTGTGACATAAAGGGTAGTACTTTGTCCTGCAGTGCCACCCTGATTAATTATTTGATTGCCATTCTTCTTGTACTCAAGGGGAGTGCCAGGCTTTGAGTTGGACATTGAATTCTCATAGAGTTTTGTATTTATTTTATATTTGCAAGAGTGATCACAGACTGGACTAGCTGCTCTGAGGAAAATAGGTCTCTGGAGCAACACCTGGTTGTACTTTAAACCTGAGATGGTATAGTTATGCAGAAATACGTACCTGTATTGCATAACACTGGAAAGGTATTTTCGGGGAATTTTTTGTCTATTATGAATAGATATGGCATGACTCCAAAGCCCATTATTAGTTTTGCTGTAGTCCCAATTGGAATGTGTTTCAGCCTCTTTTTTTTTCATTCTCTGTTCACTTTCTTCTGGTGGCTTTTGTTGTTGTTAGGCACTTCTTTAGAACTAGCCTAGCAAATATATTTAAGTGCAGTAATGCTTCTATGGAAAATTAATGTCATCCTTGTTAAACTGAACATTCACACTCAGAATAGTTTTGAAAATTGTAATGCTTGAACTTAAGGCATCTATGGCAGGTAAACATCATTATTACTAGTGTGGGTGTGATTTATTGCTCATCACCGTCATAGCTACCAGACAGCTAGCAGTGCAGCCTCCAGGGTAAGGTACTGTACAATCATGCCATCCGTGCATAAAGTGTAAGCATTAGGTATGATATAGTCTCCGTGGGGCCCTTTGCACTTAGGGTGTAGGACATGAGTCATATGAATTTCTACTTCAGGATGTCGCCCTGAAGTGGTCACTTCACCTCTGGATCCTGCCAAGAACATGCTATGATGTCCTAGCACTAAGACAGTAACAGTAACCCAGAGGTTCATGCTTTACTTCTTCTACAGAGTCAAGACATACTGGGTGAGGGGGGAAATATATGCATGTATCCTGCTAAGAGACAGGCAAAATACTGATATCAAGTGGCACTATACAATAAAAGTATGCTCAGTACCAGAACATCAGCTGTCAATATCGCAAAGTCACAATTCAACACTGATATTTTATACTGCCCTGCATGACCTGCTGCAGCTGGACTTGTTGCAACTCTGCCTTCTTGTACTCCTTTGGTTACTGGTCACATGCCCTAGTATTTTTCCTTTCTCAGCAAAAAGTTAGTGAATGTCGTGAGCTTAGTCTGGGACTGCAGAGAGGCACTAGTGAAGGTAGGACTATACTAAGGTGGGAAGCCTTTTGTCTGGGCCAAAATTTCTTTGGTTCAGCTGGCTCCTGCAGAGATCACATTACCAAGGAAATGGGATAAGTGTAGAAAAAAATACTGACCTACCTTTCACAACTCCCTGAAGCTATCTTTTCTAAATCTTTAATAGAAGCATGATGGTACAAGAATTCTGTTATTTTTGGCATCTGCTCATCTACAATTTGGCATTGTTGCAAACAGAAACTTTCCCTCCTTGTTGTATATTCTGGGTCAAGCACAACCCAGTAGCAAACAACTGGTATGCAATCAAACCCCTAGGCTACAGCTAAGTTCTTAAGTAACATTCAACTGGAATCTAAGCTGGTGTTGAATCCTAAAGTGTGGTATTCCAAACTAGTAACTGATGAACAAAAGAGAAAGGAAAAATGCAATTCAGAAAATACTTTATTGAGTACAATACCATTTCATTGTAGGCTTTTGTCAAAGGTCTACTTTATAAAACACCACCAACCTCTCTGAGGTTGAATACAGCTTGGGCAGATGTACAAGGAGTAGGAGAGGGGCAGCATCTGCAAATTTTCATGCAAGAGGCATAATATGGGATATTTGCATCCAGATGATACCTTGTCATAGTGCCCAAGTTTGCACCAGCTCATGAGAAAATAATTAATGAACCTACATTTAAATTTTATCAAGGATTGTTAACAATTGGCTACAAGTTTGAACTTACTAGGTGTTGCCACTGCACACTCAACAGCTAAACTAAAGGTCATAAAATGAAAATTAGGACCTCAGAATGAAAGTACTGTAGGAAGCCTCATGTGGAAATAGGATTAATTCTCATTCCAGAATAATGGCTAACAAAACCACCATAACCACTGTAGTTAAGGACAGCTGCAATTTTTACCAATGTACTAACATCTAATTTCCATTTTTAGCAAATGGAAGACAAAAAAGTTCCTGAAATTTGGGTTAATCCTGCAACACAGAAGTCTAATCAAGACTTGGCATGATGGTTTTTGGAAGGAGACTAAACAAACAGTAGTCCATGGGCAATTTTCAGTTGCATCAAGCAACTGCTCAACTCATAGAAAACAGCTTTAAATGGGATACAAGTGTGGTAATATATATATAAATGAAGTTACTGCTTACTAGAATGCAGACCAACTAATTTTTCTGGTATGAGTGTTCATTTTCAGTGATGGCAAAGCATAAATGTGCTATAAAATGGAGGAACAGTCAGAAGCAGCCTTGTAAAAGTCCCTATATTGCTTAAATTCTCTCAACCCTACTTCTTGATGAAGTATATATACATTCAGAGACTGCAAGAAGTTTTCAGGTTGACCATATTTCTACAGCTAACTCTGGATTTTATGAGCTGGTCCCCACAGAATCTTCAAAAATCTGCCATGAAACCTGCATTGTACTGCCAAGGAATTTGAGGAGCACTTGCTACAACAGTGAATATGAAGGTAAGTACAGCAATTAATATGTCATATTACACAGAGACTTCCATTGTCCTTTGGGTGTACATGTCCCAACATGTGTAAGTATCACCACTTTATCAGGAAATAATTTTATCAAGCAGGACGGAACAATTTGTTAACTACAATATTTTCAAATGAAAAAGAAATTATTAAACCACACTTTAAAGCAAGAAAAATGGGAATGTAAAGTTTAGCATATTCACTAACAATTGGAGAAGAAAGTTCAGGATAATCCAGAAAGGCCAAAGTATTCAAATAATTCAGCAAGGTTCTGTTGAAATTAATTTCTTATTTATTAAAAAGACAACACATTCTCAAGAGAGCATCTTCTGCAATGAAATAATTTAGTTTCTTCATATAGACACATCATACACAATGTTAACAACCATGAAAAACAATACAAAATGCTTTCAAATTTAACAAGTAGAAAAATATAACTAGTATATATGGCAATTGTGAATCTAATACTTTACAGAAGTATTTATGGATTTTACAAATAAATTATAGCTTAAATGCCCTTTGTAAAATTTCTAACTGTACACTGGAACATAGGTTCTGACGCCTACCACTAACTTGCCACAAATGAGTGCCAGTCAAACGTTCTGCCCACAAGCTCAAAAAACTTTTTGTTGGGTTCATGGAAATATTCATGCAGTTTCTCAAGTAATCGAGTATCTACTTGTGGGTGTGCTCGGCCTTTTGACTCATGTAAACAGCGCTCTCTACCACTGTCCCTTAGGCAGTAGAAGCCTTTTGTTTTATTGAAATAAAAGTTTGAAGCATTTATCTGTGGTGATAACTTCAAAAATCTCTCTACCTTCTCTATTTCTGGGAAGGGATCTTTGATTAGTTTATCCCCATCTACAATGTGGATATGATCAAGGGGAAAATACTTCAGCCAGTTCTGCATGTGAATGTAGTATAAGCTTCTGTTTATTGCCTTGTAGTCCACATTGAGTTCACCATCTTTAATCAGGAATTGTTCAATAGATGGATACGGCTTGTGCTTCTGCATGTGATTGTAGAACACTTGGGTGTAATCTGATAATACTCTCTCACTTGGGTCTCTTAAAATAAGGAGTAGTCTCATTGATTGGTTCATGTTATAAACTCTTTCAGGCACTTTAGGTGATGTGAAATATGCTGGAGTTTTTTCCACGGTGATCTGATGGGGATAAGAGAATGGCATTTGATTAATATACCACTGCAATCCATTTCTGTAATGATCTTCCCAGTCAAAGAAGTGAACTTCACTTTCTGCTGCTGCAATATCTGGATGGAGACTCAGCATCTCTAACAAAGCTCTTGTTCCGCCTTTTCTCACTCCAATAATAATAGTCTGTGGCAGCTGCCGGCACGATCCATTAGAATGAATGTTTTCCTTGAAGTCATTTTTCTGAGATGTTTTCTTTAAAAGCTCACTCTGAACAGATTGGGAAGAAGTCTCAGCATTCGAATTTATAGCTGGTCTGGAAGGCACTATCTGAGGGTGAACAATAAGCAACACAGCTCCCAGCAGAAAAGCTGCCATGACAGAAGTTCTTAGTCTGGTTTCACTCAAGCAGGTAATAGGGCATAGAGTGATTTCCACCACGAACAACCTTTAAAAGTTGTTTTTGTTTTGCTGAGTGAACGTGTATTTCTCAAGCAGAAACTTTGCTGAAAGAGGGAAAAAGAAAGAACATTATTTTATACTCAGACATATCACACTGCAAGTATCTTTTGCTTTTCACAACTGAACAAACTAGCTTTCCCAACTCTAAGCTCATAGACAATTAGGCGTCATTAAATGTTTTACAAGACAGGCATATAAAACAATGCCATGAGAAAATGATTTCCAGTCATCAGGAGACATGAACATTCTGAATCTTTTCTCTTGCACCCAAGATTCATCCAGAGTATTATTATTATTACTTAAAAGCTGATTTTCTTGGGATTGAACCACAATCACAAGAGAATTAAGTGTTTTTTTTAAATCTACAAGAATAGGTTTGTTTTAGAAACAAAACATAAAAATGAAAATATGTGGACTGGACCAAAAGGGCATTTCTAAAAGCTGAGGGTCTTGTAGGGCATTTGGGAATTACAGCCTCCCAAAGAACCTTGTAACAGCAACCTTAGAAATCAACCCTTGTGGGAAAAACGCTCATTCAATATAGGTAGAGCTGCCCAACCATGAGACAGTAACATTCTCCTGGGAATAAGTTAGGAAGAGCCATGGGTGAATAATAGAACATGGAAAAGTTGCATTTTTATGCCATTTTTAAGTGAAGTTAATATTTGCTTTGTGCTTAGGGTTTCTAAGGATGAAATAGGTGGTATGCACATTGGCCCTACAAAAAAAGATAATGAAACCATCGACTAGAATATGACTGCATCAACAAAACACTAAGAGAGCTGTGGTTCCAGTCTTGATACTCAGGAAAGAAAATACACAATGGATACTTCTGAAGGTCATTTTGAGAGTTAGCCAGCAAGCTGCAATGATGTGAAGAACTAACTTTAGGTTTTATCAAAAGACTACTAAATACCACCACTGAACACCATCTAAAAGCCAGGGGGGTTTTAATGCAACATTTGAAGTGAAATCATAACAGCCTCACACATGGCATAGCTGTTAGATTGTCACATTATGATCAGGCTGTGCACACAAGCTCCCTGAACTACGAGACCTTCCAAAGACTTTATAACCTCAGTGAAGGGCTGGTGTAAGTATGACTTTAGTACAGTCTAACTCCATTTAGAAGTAGAAATCATGATGGCTGAGCACCTGGCTGCTTTGCCTTAGTAAGCTACTGCAATTATAAATTTAAGCTTGGAACGGCACGTACTGTACCAGCTTACAAGGGCTGAAATATGAAATAACATATGAACAACCTGAGGAAATCCAAGGGCTAGGTTTTGGAAATTCTCCAGAGAATCTGAAAAGAAACTAATGACTTTTCCACAATAAGCTAAGTCCCAGTGCGGCAAGGACTAATGATGTGTTTCTAAGTGATCTAAAGATCTCTTTGACAGCTTTGCATTTACAGAGGTCATAACTCCATCCTGAATGGAGCTGGTCTGCTTCCTGATGTTTGCTACTGATTATCACTTCTGTGCTTTCCCTTTTCACACTTTTAAAGGACTACAAGGCAGTGATATTGTTAAGAAGCAGAAATCAAGGCTGGGAAGAGAGGAAAGCAAAGTGTCATGACAGATGTGAAGTCAAGAGTGTGTGCCTCCCAGTATGCCCACAGGCTTTGAGCTTGTGGGCATTCCCTGTCTCAGGCAGGTCATGCCCTGGGCTGTTCTGTGATGTCTGATGTGAGGCAACTTTGCAGAGGAATTTGTTGTTTTTCCATTTTTGGCCACTGTTTTCTCTGGCTGAAAGAATTCAATTTTGCCT